TTTTTTTTTAATGAATACTAAGCAATCTGGAGATCATAACAAACATGATGATAATGCTGCATAGCAACAAACTGGACTTTGCTCCAGGTTTAGTGTTGGCCTTGTGCTGAAGACATCATTGAGGTAGCTGGATAGGACATATCTCTTTCTAGCTAGGAAACACAATGATATTCCTATACTAGAATTTTTGTCATGATCAGTGCTGATGTTTCAGGCACCAAAGTCAAAGTTGACATTTATCTTAAAAGTGTTCTGTATATTTTTATGTGCTGACACTGAACAGACGCCTAGCAAATTATTTGCTAAAGTATAATAAACAGCTACAATAAGAGCGAAGACAGTCATCTTCACTAATTATTAAAGAAAAAACTAAGCTTACTAGAAAGGGCAGCTCAGACTCTTGGCAGGTTCCATATTGCTGCCACAGGCAGTAAGAAGATGATGAAATACAGTCGTGGACAATCTGGCATTTGTGTCCTCTCGAAAGAGTGCAAGGCAATGCTGACCACGCATCCAGCATAAACAAATCCCATCCAGCAAACATAACGCATATGCTATGGCAGCGCTTCGCAAATTTACAGACGTAGAACACATCTTAAACATACATAGGCAGGAGCTGGTAGGAATGGAATTGTGCTGAGGAGGCTCCAGCCAGACAGCACAGAAAATATGACCAGAGGAAACCTTATTCTCCTGTCCCTGAGAAACAACACCCTGCTCACCTGAACACTGTAGCTGAAAGAAGCTCTCTGTGCCTCAGAACCACAGACTCATTGGTGGAGGGAAAATGCAAGGATATGGGAAAAATGTTTGGAAAAAACATGGTCCAACAGTGAGGTTCACACTTATACACAATTGAATAGCTCAACTGTTCAGAATATTCTCGAATGAAATTTACAGCAGACATTCACTGAAATTTTCCAATTCCCAAAATACTTAAAAGCCAGTTCAACTATGTTCAGTTACTTGCAACAGATACTCATTTCATTTCAGCCAAGACTAAGCACAGTAAGTTACAGATCACTGAAGCAAAAAACTATCAATTATTCCTGTTCTGTACCTTACACTATATAAACAATATATATACTATATATAAAAAAATATCTATAGTTATTATATATGCTGTTATATATACTAAATATATATAAAAAGCAAAATAAGAAAATAAGGTTAGTAGTTTTAAAAGTTTAAATATGTATAAATTGAAGTCTGCTGGTTCAAAACCATAGCTAAAATGCAATGAAAATTAACTACTGTTCTTCAGAAACACAGTGCAAGCAGAAAGCAGATAGTTTTGCACGCAAATAAATGAACATGCAGTCTAAGAAAAAAGGAAACATAGCAACTTTTCCATGCCCTCTTGTAACTGCACATTTTCACTGGTGACAACTGTCTGACACCTGGCAAACCTTAGTACATGCATAAGCAGAACTGATTTGGAAAATGTCATTGCTCTTACTAACCCATCTCTGTTCTGCCTCTGTACAATATTGCTTCTTCCAGTATAGGCTGTAAAATGAGAAGTATTTCTGCTCAGTTAAACCACATGCAGATCTGACACACGCAGAGTTGTGAAGAGGCAAAGTAATTACAAAGCTTTGCCCATCAAAAAATAGAAGGGAGGAAAAAAGAAAAAAAAACAACTTTAATGACTGGTTCAGCAACACAACCCTGTCTGAGCATGAATCTTAAATTTAATTGTAAAATTCCGTTTATCCTTAAAAGACTGTTTCACATAACAGATTTAATTGCGGCCCCACTTCTGCACACAAGCTGTGGTTTAAAAGAACACTGTTGGTTCTTGTGTTTTTTCTTAATGCAGTGCTACCCAACGGCTTCTGAGAGCACTGTGCAGGCTTTTAAACACTAGGATCAGTTGCCAGGATTGACATGCAAGTGTGCCAGGCTGAGTTTCTGGTCCTTGTTCTTCGCAAGGCACAGGAACTGGGAATGCAATATAATATTATTTGTTTTTATAATTAAATAATAGTATTTTATAATTATTATTTATTAAACCAAGATGAAGACTTTCAGCATCATTCTCCCAAGACTAGATGGGCTAGCACACAGCATGGAAAACGTATGTTCAGCCACTATATGAGAGCACAGATGGAAAAGGAGTAAATAAAGCATCACTTGGCAGCTTCGCTATGGGATGACCGTGAAACAACAGCAGCTGACTTGAAGTAACACTACCTTCACCTCAGATCCAGGAACATCAGTAACCGTAATGTAAGGGGACAGTGGGGAGAAAGAAGAAGCCAGAAATATCTGACAGGAATTTGGAAGAAAGCCTAGAGGAGATAGAGTACAACTGTAATGAGAAACCTTCAAAGAAGGATTTTTCTTTATTGCCTTTTTGCTCTACTATTATATTTGCAGTAATTCCGGTTTATATGACTTTTGATACACAGATTTATTCTTTCCTGAGAGAATGTACCATGAAGTTTTAATTAAGTAACTACAAGCTAACAGAACACTTCACATCCATTATAAAATAAACATAAAACCTTGCTCCACAAGAGATAGTGGACTATACATCTTGTATGAAGTGCAATAATTACCTTATGGCTTTTAACACTGATTTCCTAATCCTTTAGTATCCTGCATATTTTTTCTTCAAACAGTTAACAAGAATTTTTTTTAAGCAGCAGCAACAGTACATGGCAAGAAGGTACTTCTATTTCATTTCTAGATATTCACATGTTAGTGTGGAAAATCTATTCCAGAATACTAACTGACATTTATGTGCCTTATCACAGAGATATTTCATCTCCACTGTAGAAATTCAGAATTATAGCTGAAAAGAAATGATTTCTCCCTCATTTGTTTTAGCACTTCGCCACTTTTAGAGGCTTAGCATAACCACAATAAACAGCAACCAGTATGCAAGAATTCAGGCAAAATAATCCCAAAATAGCAATGGTAAGCTGCCCAGCACTAACACTATCTATTTTTTTTCAGCAGCATTCAAACCAGTACTGGATAAATGGTGGTCTTCTACTTCACCCACTGTATCGATATCCAATGAAATATTTTGCTTCTTCAGGATCTTTACAAAACCATGGAAGAGATCACAAGATGTGATGGCCCCAGCTGTTAACATATATTGCAAACAGCCATCACTGATGCAATCCTAAAATGCTGAAAAAACCTAAAAGAGTATCTCTCTTGAGTGAAAATAAAATGGTTCAACAACAATGTAAGAAAGACTGAAGTGATGGGAGCAGAAAGGGGAATACACACTTGCAGGCTTCAATGGTGAAAGGACAAGTGTTACAAATCTTCAGGTATGACTTCTTCCCCCCCAAGCTTAAGTAGCCAGAAATCATGGGTATTACAGTACTCACAAGAAAGGTTTAGCACCTCACTATAAAAAAACTGGCATGCTGTCCTTCTTAAGCAATTGCATAAAATCAGAAACTGATACTACTAGCATGAGCACTCAGTTATTCTGTTCCCTACCTCAGCTACATCCCTATATCTTGCACTCCCTTCTTACTATTCCTGCCCTTTCCTCCAGCACCTGAATAGCGCTAACCACACTCGCTTCCCTGCCACTCACCATGCTACTACAAACTAATCTGAAGTGGCATGAAAAAATTAACCTTCCCTCACTTCTAGCTCATAGTTAATAAAGGTGCATGTCCAGCTGTGTATCTGTCATCTCTAAAATGGATAACTGTAATTCACATGATGTGAAGCTGATGCCAATGGCCCCAACTGGTACAGGATGGAGCTGCTTGCTTCCTCCATGATTTAGGTCAAAGTGACACCTCAGGCTCCATTGCCCAATTATTTCTAGATTCCAGTTGAAGCCCTAGATTGTAATCTCCAATGATCAAGTTCTCTAGGTGAGTCTGCTTTAGCAGGGGGGTTGGACTAGATAATCTTCACAAGTCCCTTCCAACCTCTACCATTCTGTGATTCTGTAAATATGTGGTTAAAGATTCAATTATAATCTGTGAATATTAGGAATTTATGCACCTCTTGAACACACAGATCACAAAGCTCTGCATGAAACTTTTCACAGATGGAAACAAAACATTTCCGATTGTGGGATTTGAGCTCAGTATGGTCGTTCAGAGGATTTTAAGGGGATACAAGAATTTAATTATTTCTAAAAAACACTACAAAACTGTCCTTTTTGAAGGCACTACTCCACAATAGCAGAAACCACGCAATTATTTTCTTCCTACCTTATTTTCAGCCCAAGACTAGAAAACTAAAGAAAGAAAGAGAAAACTCGTACTTTGATAAGTTTTATCCCGAAAAGACAAGCCAGAAGTTGACTGAGAATATTACTACTATCAATATTACTTTGAAAGCACTGAGATACTTTGGTTATGGGAAGCAATACCAAACAATATCAATCCCTAAGATAAATAGAAAGCAAGGAGTAACAAAATGAAACTGCAGAAACATTCTTAAGGCAGTAAAAATTGCCTTTGGATTTCCATTCCTCTTCTTTAAATTATCCCATGCAAGTTCAGTTTGAAGTAGATCTGTAACAATGTGATTGCAGTGAACTCCATGCCTTGAAGAATCAGATACCTAATATCTGACTTATAAGACAACTAATTAGCTTCATTGGCAGGAGTTCAGAGACATGGAATCAGTCAAATGAAAAGTAACATTTTGTTGCTGGTCAGCATATGCTGGGTTTTGTATTTAGAAATTAATAAGAGAAATTATTTTCCAGATACTTCTTTCAGTTCTAGCTGCCCAAGGTACTTTTAGGAAGCCAATGTCATCATAACTCTCCTGTTAAATGAAAACAAAACAAAACAAAACACAAACACACCTCCCCCCCAAAACCAAACCAAACCAAACCAAAAACCAAACCCAACAACTTTCCTTAAAAGTATCCTTTATTCCTATTAAAAAAAAAAAAAGAGCAAGCACTGAATACTTTCTCTGGAAATCACTTGAAGTGTTCAAGTCAACAAGTAGCTCTTTCCATCACAGACATACACCTCACCTTTCAAGGCTGCTTCTTCAGCTTGCGTATACATTCCCAGAAAGAAGTACGTACAGGCAAGATTCACCCAAACTTCTGGATTGCAACCTGGTTGTTTGGTTAAGGCCTCATATTCCTGTAACAGAAAAGAGGTTTGATTTCTAAAAGATGCTTAATAGCACAGACTTGTATTAAATATCATTATTTCTTGCACCACTTTACAACATATCATTAAATTACTGAGATCAAATGACTTATTCTCAGCTTCACTGCAGTTCTTACAACAAAACTATTACATTTTAACCTAAGATCTGTCCCTATCTCTTTTTGGTTTACAGCAACAGAACAGACAACAGGGAAAAGCAGTGCTATAAATCTTTGCTGTAGGAGCACGAATTCTGTCAATCCTGAAGTTATTAATATATAAAATATTATTTAGATTATTATATCTTTATATATTATTAGAAATATATTATTATCTTTATTTGTAATATACAAATATATTAAAGTTACAAAGGCATCAATATAACCAACTTTTGTTCAGTCTTTTCTGATGCTTTCCTAACTTCTCCAGTCAAAGTCTGGGAACCACAAACACCAGGGAAATCTCTTTGTGAATATTTACTGGAGTGAGTGTTAAACACGCTTTTACAAGCTTCTAGGTAGTGTCTTCATATAGATTAAAACAGTGGTCTCCAATGTGGGGTGTCTGGCTATTGTGCAAGCCAGCTGTTGTGCAAGACACCCCGCTGTTACATGCCTGCATCAGGTGCAGGAAGAAATTTTTTTTTGTACTATTAATAACTAAAATAACTATTTTAAAACAGTGTAAACACTGTTCATCTTTATCTCACAGAACGGCAGGGGTTGGAAGAGACCTCTGGAGAACCCCACTGCAAGCAGGCTTACCTACAGCAGGTTGCACAGGTTCACATCCAGGCAGGTTTTGAACGTCTCATAGAATCATTGAATAGTTTCAGTAGGAAAAGACCTTTAAGATCATCGAGCCCAACCATTGATCCAGCCCTACTAAGTCTGCCAATAGACCATGCCCCTAAGCACGACATCTACTCATCTTTTAAACACCTCCAGGGATGGTAACTCAACCACCTCCCTGGGCAGCCTGTTCCAGTGCTTGACAACCCTTTCAGTAAAGAAATTCCCCCTAATATCCAACCTAAATCTCCCCTGGTACAACTTGAGGCCATTAGCCCTTGTCCTATCACTAGCTCTGAGGGAGAAGAGATTGAACCCCAACTCGCTACAACCTCCTTTTAGGTAGTTGTAGAGGGCAATAAGGTCTCTCCTCCTTTTCTCCAGACTAAACAACCCCAGCTCAGCCACTCCTCATAAGACTTGTTCTCCAGATCCTTCACCAGCTTCGTTGTCCTTCTCTGGACACACTCCAGCATTTCAATGTCCTTCTTGTAGTGAGGGGCCCAAAACTGAACACAGTATTTGAGGTGTGGCCTCATCAGTACTGAGTATAGGGGATGGATCACTTCCTTAGTCCTGTTGGCCACACTCTTTTGGATACAGGCCAGGATGCTGTTGGCCTTCTTGGACACCTGGGCACGTTGCTGGCTCATGCTCAGTTGGCTGTTGACCAACACCCCCAGGTCCTTCTTCTCCAGGCTGCTTTCCAGCCACTCCTCCACAAGCCTGTAGCACTGCATGGGGTTGTTGTGACTCCAGTGCAGGACCCGGCACTTGGCCTTGTTAAACTTCATACAGTTGGCCTCAGCCCATTGATCCAGCCTGTCCAGGTCCCCGTGCAGAGCCTTCCTACCCTCAAGCAGATCAACACTTCCATCCAGCTTAGTGCCATCTGCAAACTAACTGAGGGTGCACTCTATTCCCTCGTCCATGTCATTGATAAAGATATTAAATAGAAGTGGCCCCAGTATTGAGCCCTGGGGAACAGCACTTGTGACTGGCCACCAGCTGGATTTAAGTCCATTCACCACCACTCTTTGGGCCCGTCACCCAGCTAGTTTTTTACCCAGCAAAAAGTACACCTGTCCAGCCCATGGGCAGCTAATTTCTCCAGCAGAATGCTGTGGTACACCATGTCAAAGGCTTTAGTAAAGTCCAGGTACACTACATCCACAGTCTTTCCCTCATCCACTAAGCTGGTCACCTTGTCATAGAAGGAGATCAGGTTAGTCAAGCAGGATCTGCCTTTCATAAACCCATCTTGACGTAGGCCTGTCACAGAGCTCTGAGACAGAGGCCACTGTTGTTTATTTGGACCATCTGGAATGTTTCAAAATCCGTTTAGATTAAATACACTCCAAGGTCTCTTTCAGCTATGGCTTCAGGCAGATTAATTAGAAAAGACAAAGTGTATAAACACAAGTCATGTTCTGGCTTGGCCATTCAAAGCAAGCAATAAATAGAGTGCTCTTGCAGTACCACTGTGAATCTATGGAAACACAGTAAATAAAAATGGGGACTATTAGTGTTCCTTACCCTGAAGTTCTGGGCCATGAGCGCAGGCTATGTGCTGTTGCCCCTTTCCTCATGAAAAGGCATTGAACATCAGTCTCTCAAAGACTACTTCACAGGAGCTTTCTTCCTCTCCAAAAAAACCCCAACAAAACCAAACAAACTAAATACTTCAAAAGCTTTCCCAACAGTCAACCTGTGGCATATTTTTGCCAACTGGGAGCATAACAACTTCTTGCTATTTCACCCTCCTCCACCTCCCACCCCTACCATGAGACACATGCACTTTTCCTCAAAAGCAGGAAAATTGCCTACAGGTCGATTGCCTACAACTATGGACACCTACTGAAAATGCTGAGGCCAGCAGGATTCTGCTCAATGCCCTTATTACTTGTCTGGATTCTCCAAGCCCATATACACAGATCCTGAAGAGCCAATAAAAAGGCCAACCTATAGGGCTGGCCTATAAGTGCTCAAAGAAGGTTTGGAGATACTCACCATAACCTGGCTACAGTCATGACAGAAAAGCCAAGAGAACTTCCCTGAATCAAAAATCCATCTTTTAGTTTCTAGCTTCAGTTGTAAGAAACCTGAGTCTACCCGTATTCTCACACTTCCAGCAGAAGTACTCAAGCAAAACCAGATACTGCTCATGAATGAACCTTTACCCTAGTATAGCCCTGTTCCTTTCACGATTTACTATTTGACTGATATTATCCTGAGCTAAGTCAAGGTAGGCAGCAGGTCCCATTCAGTGAAGAGGTAGGATGGCTCCTGATTCTCTGCTCGGAGGGAGCGGCAGATAGGAGAGACTGTTGGAATCACTGGCCGTAATTTGTGAGATTTTGACAGAAACAATGCATTGAAGGCTCTGATCCAAGGGTCATGCTTTGCTCTCACATGTGCAGCTGACGGGCCAAAATGGTATTACCATGTCTCGCAGCTGTACCATGCCAGCATCCTGTGTGCCTACGCCCACTCAGAGGGTGCAGAGTGCAAATGTAAAACCTGTTCTTGAACCCAATCTAGCAGTGCACCTGCCCTTGCCAATTCCTTTCTTAAGTTGTCAATATCTCAAATATGCCGTATAACCCTTCCTTTCTTAGGCCTTGGCTGCTTCCATTTATGAGATCAGGCAGCTCAGAAACAGAATTATAGGACAGGTGCTCTGAGATATTTTTCAGGAAAGCTTTAAGATTAGTGCTATGAATAAGTCATGGCAGAAAGACAGCTGGGTTTTTCCCTGTTAGGGATAGTAGATGTGAAAGACTCCAGAAAACTAATTAGATGCTGCCATCCATTAGGGGAGTTCTGGTTGCCATATGGTGCCAGGAAGGCACCAGCCACTCAGTGTTGGTAAAAATCAATTTGTCAGTGAAAGAAGCTAGACAGGCCCCAGGGAGGGACTGCCACCATGACTTCTGGAAGAGTCGAACCCAGTGCAGTACCATTTGTAAACTGGTATACAGCAGTAGGGATGATCCCATCAGACCAGTGTTGGTGGCATATCCTTTGAGAAATGCCTACTACTTAACCTACTTAGAAGGGGAAAGTGTGACCCTGGTGAAGCTGAGGTTAGCGCTGTACCTAGAGAATACCTGACTGTTGGTATGCCTGATATTTTGCTGTCATTCTCTTTGAAGACATTCTTGAAGCTGAAAGTCTGAGGGTTTTTCATTCTGCCCCTGCTTTTCTCAGTAGGGGATGATGGCCAGCTCACCCCAATTCCCAAGCCACTCCAGAAGTTGCCAAGCAATCAGCATGCCCGGCCCATTAGGAAAGTATCATAGAAGCATATGGTTGGAGAAGACCTTTAAGACCGTTGAGTCAAATCATAACCTGGCTGCTACTAAAACATGTGTCTAAGCACCTCATCTACCCATCTTTTAAATATCTCCAGGGATAGTGACTGGACCACTTCCCTGGGCAGCTCATTCCAATGCCTGATAACCCTTTCAGGAAAGGAATTTTTCTTAATATTTAAACTAAACCTCCCCTGGCGCAACTTGAGGCCATTCCCTCTCATCCTCTCTCTTGTTACTTGGAAGAAAAGACCAACACCCACCTTGCTACAACCTTCTTTCAGGTAGCTGTAGAGGGCAATAAGGTTAGCCTCCTTTTCTCATTATAAATAAAAGGACTATTGAGCAGCATAATTTCTGAAGACCTGCATCAGATATATGGAATACAAGCCATGAACTGGGAATATAGTGACACAGACTATGCATTGTCACTTGCAGGCACTTAGGAATGTGAATCTTTTAGAGTGTGTGCAACGTCACTCTGGAGAATTCTGCAGAATCTTCTACCCGTAGTATTTTATTTACAGTGCTCTTGGCACTCCCCAAAGAGTTCTCCAAGATCTAGAAGATATAGATAATAAAAGAATTTGTCCTTGAGAATACAGCAACAATGCCTCTGTAACATAGCAGAGAAGATACAGCATTACACGTCAACCTTGAAGCTGATAACTGAAAGGCAATTCAGCCTCCACAGTCTCTTTCCCTTGATTACTACAGGCTTGGAAATTACAACTATGATGTTCTGTCCCAAAAGAACCCAGGTTGAGATGCACAGGCTTACTTCCCATATGCCACCACAAAATGACAAAGTCATCAGGACTCACCACTGTGCCAGAAAACCAGTCTTAAATCTGAAAAGATAGGCCCTGTGATCTCTCACTTAAAACACACACACTAACAAATCATGCATATAAACCTTTTATTGTCCCTACTTGGGCAGAGAAACGGGAAAAAGATGATTACGTTGCAGTTTTTTTATAAGCCTAAATCAACAGCATCACCTAGTGGTGAATCAAACATCACATACAAAGCCTTACCTCTAAAATAAATAAATAATTTTTTAAAAATGCTATTACTCTTTAATTGAAGGAAAGATTTAAAATCTACTCTGGCTATAAATGCACCTACTGGGTATCCCAAATAGTTGAGTTTATTTCAATGAAATTGCAAGCTGTTTTTCTTTTGTATACAAACATTTTTCTTTTTTTTTAAACTTTCAATCCCTATTAACATCTAACATGTAGATATAAGTTAACTACAGCAACTGATGGTTACTTTCATAATCTTTAAATTCCACAATTCTAAAAGTGAATATTATATTACCACTATGTTCTATACTACCATTCTACACTCTATACTGTGTCTCCTGTCAATTTGATTCACTGAACATTTCTAACATCTCAAATGGATGTTTCCTCTTCAGTTTTTTAAGGGGGACATGCCTTGTGAACTTACTCGGAAACTTCAGGAATTTCGTTTCTGTCTCACATATGAATCTTGTCCATATGACCATGTACTACTATAGTGAAACACCTTATTTTATCTAAGAAAATATTGTCATTGGTCTAGAATCTATTTTTCTATGGTTATTTTCTTTTGTTAATAATTTGACATCTGTTTTTAGTACACATTCCAGGGAAAGCAAGTTGAAAGACTTCAAAACCAGCTATACTTCATAGTCAGCTTCACAGTGAATCATGATGGAGATCTCCCTCAACTTGCATTGACTGAAGACAATAACCCTTAAACGGTGCCATACAACATTGTGTGACCCAGCAATTCACATCTATAGGAATACAGCAATGAGACAAACAATGCTTAGGCAGACCAAGTTGTTTTCAGATCTTCAGTAGCTTATACACAGTTCTGTGAGTATCACCACACCACTCCACAATACTCCCTGTTCTGGTGTGCACATTGATTTCAGCCCTAGGAAGTACAAAGCAAGGCAGACAACAAAAATTTGTTAAGACTTTTACAGAGAAATATGCTAGGACAACTGAGAAGATAAAGTGATCCCAGGGACACAGGCAACAAATTGCTTGGCAGCAAACCAAGTTTCATTAGAGACATAAACGGTCACAAGATAAAGAACTGCATATAGACTCTACACTGAGAGACGCACAACAGCACTGTATGGTACAAATATTAAAAATGTATGTGTATTTGAATAATCAACGTGTCTTCTAGTGACTTAAAGGTTTTGGAGAATATCTAATTTCATTGAATTATCTAATACAAGAAAACACAAAGAAGAAAAATAAAGTACATTAAATGGCCAGGGGCATCAACCTCTAAAGAGTTAAAAAAAGATACTTACATATTACATATTACATATAAGCTACACAATTAAGACAAAGACATAATTAAATTTCAAAAGCAAAACTGTGGAAAGCTAGCTGCCAAAAAGGGATGGAAAATTTAGGACATGAACTATGACATTTAAAAGGGCAAATTAGGCTACTTAGCCTAGTATTAAATTAGACAGTAGCTAACATTTAAAAAGGTCTACTTTCATAAGCAAATACCTTTTTTCAATCCACACTGCTCTCCACAGCATCTGTCTTATTACTGTACATTTGTACCTTAACTGGCTGGCAGAACTGTTCCCTCTTACAGAGCATCTTCACAGAAATCACAGAATCATTAAGGTTGGAAGAGGCCTCTAAGATCATCAAGTCCAACTGCCAACCTAACACCACCATGCCCACTAAACCGTGTCCTGAAGTGCCACATTCACACACTTCTTGATCACCTCCAGGGATGGTGACTCTACCACTTCCCTAGGCAGCCTGTGCCAGCGCTTGACCACTCGTTCAATAAAGAGATTTTTCCTAATATGTTCCTCCTGTTGTCATCACTTTATCACAGCATCCCAATTTACAACCTCTAGGAGTGGGATTTCCCCACCTTACCTCCAGTGCTCTCTTGTAGTCACCCAAGTGGAAGGCAGAGTATCCAATCCAAAGGTCAGCGTCCTCCTCCTGCTCACCCACATGGCGTTTAAACTTTGAGGAGGAAAAAAGAATGTAAGAATTTTGCCAGCTGTCACACAGTTTATAAAGTCCCTACAGATTATCAAAGCAATCCTGGGCCATCTTATATGACGAATGGTTTGACAGCTGTGGAGATGCTACTGGGGTGGAGCTGCTCTCACATTACTGAGGGGAGCAGCCGGCAACCCTCACACGCCAAACT